GAGATCATGGGGATTCTCGAAAATCGCATCGTCATGCTGTTCTTTGCATCTGCTGAATGTGAAAAGTGCCTGGAGTTTGTGCCTGTTCTGAACGACTTCTTTAAGAGACTGAAAGATCCAGTGTACATCGAATACCCGAAACTGCTCGCACTCATCTACATCAGGTTCCCACATCTTTTTTTAATCTGTATATCTGTCTTATACATATTCATTTACATAAATATATCTATTTGATCAGTTTTGAGATTTCCAGATTTCTCTCTCTCTAGTTTGGACCAATCAGAGGAGAAACAGGACAAATTCCTCAAAGAGCTGCACAAAAAGGTTCTGTTTCTGGCCTTTGAGGACCCGTACAGGAAGTGAGTGTTTAAATATATGTGCATATATTTAAGCTGTTTGTCAGTGCAACCAAGTCTGGAGGACCACATCACTCTTTGTACAAAATTAGAGTATATTTTCATGCCAGTCTATTTCTGTTTTTCAGGGAACTGCAGACCATGTTTAAAGTGAAGGATGTACCAACAATAGTGGTCCTGCGTCCCGACGGCTCTGTCCTCTCTCCAAACGCTGTGCGGGACATCTGTCGTTTCGGCTGTGACTGTTTCCAAAACTGGCAGGAATCGGCCGAGCTTGTTGAAAGGAGCTTCATGCTCAACGAGGAGTTTGACAACCTTAACTTGCGCAGTGCCACTGACCCTGTGAGGAGGCTCAAGTACAAGACAGAGGACGACAAACGCAAAAAGAGATGGTGGAAGTTATGGGGGAAGGGAAAAGATGGAAATGAAGAGGAGAAAGATGGAGCATGGGATACCAAGAGAAATGAGGGAGATAACAATACCTGGAGGATAAGATGAGGAAAACATATATCATATATCATATAATATATTCTGTATGTTATCACTCAGACATTTAGGAGAAATATTTTTGTTTTAGAAATAAATTTTTATCTGCTGTTCCAGAAAATTTATCAGAAATGTTATCAAGATTAACTGCCATAATTCATAATTATGAATTTATGATTTTCAGTCGCATGCAGTGGTACAGTAGGAAGGTCATGGGTTTGAATGCAGCCTATGTGGAGCTTGCATGCGCTCTCTGTGTTCGGGTGGTCTGGCTTTCTCCCACACTCCAAAGACATGAGGGGGTTTAGGTTAATTTGTGAATCTAAATTCCCTGTGAGTGTGAATGGTTGCCTGTCTCTATGCGTTAGCTGTGCAGTAAATTGCTGACCTGTCCAGGGTGTACCCTGTTATAGCTGGGACTGGCTACAGCCCCCTCATGACCCTGAATTTGGATACCAGTGAAAAGATGGATGGATGTATCAATAATAACTGGGAACTGTTTTTTCAACAACCAGACTGATGATTTTTTCAACAACCATCAGTCTTTGTTTTATATATATTTATATGTTTATGTTTTTATATATATTTATATATATATATATATATATATATGTGTGTGTGTGTGTGTATATATATATATATATGTGTGTGTGTGTGTGTGCACAATCTGGCTCTGTGAGGTGTTTTTTCTCAAGCCAAAGACTCTAATGCAGTTGTTGTCTTGCACCGTTTTGCACTCTGGCTTCCAGCTTCTCTTTCTAATCAAGTTAGAACCAGTTTGGGATCTTCTTTGTAGGGTTAGGTTGGTGCACGCCATTGTAGGGAACAATACAGTTTTGTTTTGTTTTGTTTTTTTGTTAATTTCCTGAGTGGAATAGCCTTCATTTCCTAGAACAAGAATAATCTGTTGCGCTTCCAAATAGTTTCTTTTTATTAACCTTTTTGAGACTCACTTTAATGTTGCATAAGATGAAAACAAATTTCCTTTTCTTAAAAAAAACCCAAAAACAAGCAGAGAGCAGACGTAGGCCATAAACATCTACTATTACTGCTCATCTGTTGTTGTGGATACCTACTGTATATGTTGATGGTGTTTTTTCTTTTCTTTATATTTTGTTGATATTGTTCAGTTGGTGATATAAACTACCACAAGAGATGCCACTGTTTTTATTCAGAAAACACAAACATGTACAAACCAATCCTGACTAAATATGTGAGTATCGATCCCCAGGATTCCAATCTAAAGCTCTACAAATCAATACCTTCTTATTGACTTAGGATCAAATTACTGTGTATAGCGAGAGAGGACTCACATGTATACTGGCTACTCCAGCCGTGCAACTCTACAGACTTGTTTCTTTCTGCTTTTCTTCCCTCTTCTTTACCCTTTCTACTGACAATATAATTCTTCTGGCAAAGTAATTCAAGATATATCAGCTCCATTTCCAGCAGCATCAGGCAGCTGTTTTCTGAGCAAATAATCAGTGGACTGTACGTGTGCTGCTCAGCATGATAAGGAAACAAGATGAGAAACTAGCTGGTGAAAAAAGTCCAGCTTTCTGCAGCTAACAGTCAAGATATAATATTTTCTCACTGGGGAGGCGAGACAAAAGTGAATGCTAAAAACAGGTAACAGGCTTAAATTAATCAGATACAGAGACTGAAATCTGCTGGATATGTAAACAGGCAACTATTTTCACACTGTTTTTTTGAATAATATTTGGGAAAAAAAAAAACCCTAAAAATATACATGTAATTGCATTTTTGGCTACATTTAGGTGCTGGCGCCTGCTTGTTTTGTAACTGAAATGAATGTCTTGTCAGTGTGTTATTTACTTTCATAACACTGTTATTTGTCTTTACTATTCTTTATTAACTACGTCTCCTCAGAGTTTGCACTTTGTTATTGCATAGTTAAATATGAATTGTATGCTCTCCAAAATCATTAAATTCTCTATTCTTTTAATATAAACAGTGCCCGTATCACTGCTGTGCTTTCATGGCCATATTGTAGTGTTCCCAGTAGAGCAAATCAAACTATCACTACGCACATATTCCCTGCGGTTCTGCTATTCCATTAGTTACTGAATATTAAAGGTCTCACAGTGGCTCACTTCATTAAGGTTCTTTTTCTTCTTTTAAGCATGTCTCTCATTCCGTAATTTCTCCGCTCTTTATTCAGACAGACTTGATTGTTCAGTCACTGCTTTCACATACACACACCATCAGCGCGAGCACTTCATGTTCCTTGTCCCTCTGTCACCTTGTCTTTCAATCCCTCCCTCCCAGACATATGAGGGGAGGTGGAGAGCAGGGACACAAAAGAAGAGGTAGTGAGCAGCTACTGCCACCAAGGTGACGGCGAATGAGTGAATGCGATACGAACTGGCAGACTGGGAAGTGATTCTAGTGTGATAAAGGAAGAGGTGAAAAGAAATGTAAGGCTAGATTTTGAAGGCTATTTTCTTTTTGGATTTGCTGCCTCAAGGAGAGATAATATTTGTTAGAGGTAAGCAACTGTGAGGATTATCCGATTTAACAGCAAGCGAGATTATATATGATTACTGTAATCGATTTGGGAGAGTAGAAACATACAGTGAAACACAAGGCAAAGCCATTAAAATCGCCCAGATAAATATTTCCAAATGTCAAGACTTTTTACTGCTATTGTGAAGCCTTTGATATTCTAATGTGTGTTATGCTACATGGTTTGAGCTTTCATGAATAGCGGTGATGTGCCTACTCTTTCTTGATTAATCCAAAGCATATTAATAGCTTTGCTTCTCCCTTTGTAGCACCCCTTCATCATGGTGGACTTATTCATTGGTCGGGTCCTGTTAAAGAACAACAAGGACCAAGATGAGCTGGACACAGAGCGTGAGATCATCATGCGCCTGCAGAACCGAATCCTGATGCTCTTCTTTGCTTCTGCTACGTGTGAGACCTGCAGGCAGTTTGCGCCCACGCTCTCTGACTTCTACAAACAGTTGACAGATGAGTTCTACGTGGATCGTGCTGCTCAGCTGGTTCTGCTGTACATTAGGTAAAACACACAAAGGCACACATATAGGTGTTTATTAGAACTGTAGCGTCTTAACACTGGAATAGATTTTCTCCTCTGTTACTTTAGTAAACTAACCTTGTCTCTAGCTGGAATGTAAAATTAAGCTGCACGCACGTATGTGCACTTGCGTAATGCATGTATGAATTTCCTTTAAGAAATAAGAACCGCAAGAAAAATGACATTGGAGTAATTTTTACTGGAGTTTTTCCCTTTCACTCTCTAGTTTGGACCAGTCAGAGGAAGAGCAAGAAGGTTTCCTCAAAGAGCTCCCCAAAAGGTGCCTGTTCCTGGCCTATGAGGACCCCTACAGGAGGTGTGTGAGATTAGCCAGTTAGAAGTGTGTATAACCTGCTAGTGGGTGATGGTAATGTAAATCCGTTAGCTCTATGCTAGTGTGTGTGTGTGTGTTTCCGCAGGGAGCTGGAGGCTATGTTTAACGTGGAGGAGGTGCCCACGGTGTTGGTGCTGCGTCCCGACTGCTCCATCCTCATCCCTAACGCCGTGGATGAGATACTCCGCCTTGGAACAGACTGCTACCACAACTGGCAGGAGGCAGCAGAGCTCATTGACAGGAACTTCATGAACAAAGAGGACTTTGAGGAGAAGTCCATGCGCAGCTTCAGCGACCCTGTGAGAAGACTGAAGTATAAGGTGGAAGACGAAAAGAAGAAAAAGAAGAAGAAAAAGCGAAAGGGGTGGGGTGGAAGTGGAGATGAAGGTGTGGAGGCGGATGGAGGAGCGGGCGACAAGGAAGGAGGGGGATCACCATGGTGATGGAGACCAAGAACGGGAGAAAAACACTGCTGATTTGCCTAAAACTTGCTGCTGTCCTTCACAGCAAAAAATATCGCAGATATTTCAGTAGAAATGTCAAGCTGACCTTATTGCGACTGGCTTTGCTTCGGCGGTACAAAGATCGTGGTCCTACAACAGCTCCAGTGTACAGTATGTGGGCAGCAAACAACAAAAAGAAATATAACACTATCTGCAGGAACACTGACAGCTGCTTTGATTTGGCTGTATTTGATGTCTCTGAATGCTGCCAAGTATACAGTCGAGACAAGGTTTGGTCTGAGCCAAGTCTTGCCATTACGGCTTGTTTTATTACACAGTGGAGATGATTATAACCATTTCTCCATTCTCAACAACACAGCTCTGTAATGCACTTTTTTTTAAAATGATAATTTGTGCGTCCAATCAAAACACACCATGCATAATCTGAAATCAATGAATTATTCAGCACCATTAAAATAATTTTGTTAGTGACTGTTTTGCTTTGAGTGTTTGTGAAGTCTAGCTGCACTTTACAGACTACACAAGCAGCAATCAGAGCTATTCAACAGGAGTCAAGTGAAATCATGGAGAAACTGGCTTTACTACACTATCATTGAGCTACTTTGACTGTTAATCATCTTCTCACATAATGAAGACCACATCCAGTCTTTGCACACTTCCTCGCGCATGCAGGCTAATGTGATGAAGCTTTCGAGTGATCAGGCAAGATCTTCCTTTGCAACAGTTCCTTCTCTTTGTGACATTTTCTTCCTTCCTCTATATCCTCTAAGTGACCCATGCCTTAACTACATGCTGCCAGTACTTCCAAAATACAAGTACAAAAACCTAAGGCAAAATGACAGTAATCACAGTAATCACAGCAGCAGCACTGGGGTTGAAATGCATCTCAGAGACAGAGAAGGAAGCCAGAGTATCATCAGGTGTCATCAGGTTTGATTGCTATGGATTGATGTGCTTTAGAAAAGGCAGAGACGTGATGATTTATAACAAAGCTCTAACATTACAGCCAGATTGACAAATAGGTCATATTTTCTAGCAGTGCTGCACAAATGTGCACTGTGCAGCACAGGGTAGCTAACAAACAGCTCATCTCCCCTTTCACCATGATGTGGTCACAGAACTGTAAATGCTAAACTTGCATCGGAGCTGGTCGGACCTGTAAAGGGAGACAGATGCCTGAATAAACACAAGCCGCTGTGTGTTTCATATTCCGTTGCTTTTGCCTACACAGCAGCTTTGCTCACTCAGACAAACCTTGACAATATAGCCGAAGCCCCCCCAACCCCGCCACTCTCTCTCTGCACAAGTACACACGCGCACGCATAAACAAACGTGCACACACGCAGAAGCGCAGACGCGTTGCGCGCTCTCGATTGCAGAACGCGCAACAAGCGGACCAGCGGATGGAGAGAGAAGAAGAGAGACGGACGGATGCAAGGCGAGGCCAGGAACGGGAAACTGTATCTCTCCTGACGGTCCAGCTGTTGTCTTTTCCTTCCCCTCGTTAACCCTAGTATTATTTTATAACGCGATTCTTGCTTTTCCCCCCCTATTTTTTTTTTAAAGCCTGACATTTCTCCATATCCGTCCTGATGTGCCGCTGCACCCCATCACGATTCTTCAAGGATATGCAAAGCGGCTGTTATCACGTCGACGTTATTTTCCATTAAATGCAAGGATGTACCTAATGAACGGCATCGGAGGCGTACGATCAACAATGACAAACGACAGCTGAGCTCGGCGAGCGGCTCAGAGCGGTCGAGGTTTGTGCGTTAATTTGCGCCTAATTATTGTTTTCGTGTGTGCCCGTTTATTTCCCTCCCTTCATCCATCGGGGCTATAAGGCCTATAGCCCGCATCATTTCTGGGCATGAAACCCGTGGGAATTATGATACCAACGTGACGCACAGTCACACAGCACAGCGGGAAGACATCGAGCCTCTACAGGACGGAGGGAGGGTGTGAGGTCCAGCAGAGCAAAACCCTGCCTCTCGCACTGATCACAGGCGGAGGACGCCCAGTTGTTGCTGGACAAATCACGCTAATGACTGTCGTATAGCCCAGCAGGTCTCGCCCTCCACTAATTCCCCATTGAATATTTAATTTTTTTTTAATGCATCGGGCGCAGCGGAGCGGGAGAAAGGGAGGAGAGTACAGTGGGTGAGGGCGCGGAGAGACGGGATGCGGGAGACGCAGTGAGCGAGGAGGAGGAGGAGGACGAGGGAAACCGGAGGATTGACGGTAAGATATGGATATAGGCTATGAGGATGCACTCCGCCCCTCCTCTCTCTCTCTCTCTCTCTCTCTCGTTCACACGCACAATCGCACATATATGATCAATGCCCCAGAGGACAGCACAGGTGCCCCGCTTCTTTCATTGGTATTGCTTCTGCTGCTGCCAAGGGCCATTTGATCACTGAGTGGACATGGATCCCATGCGCTGCTGTGCTGGGGTTTTTTAACGCTGGCTGCCATTAAAGCTTGGTCAGTAGTAGCCATGAGTGTTGTGAAATATTCATAGGCACGTGATTACCCGTCTTTGGAGATCAGAGAGAAAAAGTGTTGTGATAGGGTGTCCCAGACTGGAACGCCAGAGGGGTCTGTCATGGGTGGTGTGATTTGTGTTCATTAACACACACCTTTGGTTGCAGCGTCATGTGTGCTGCAGTGAGCAGTGATGTAAAACACACGCACACACACATACACACAAAAGGGGTTTTAATGCGGGTTTGGTTTGCTGATTCACCACAGATGGGAACATGAGGAGAAAAGAGTATGAGAGGTAGCAGAGCGAGTGAGTGAGAGTCCACTATCAATATTTCAGAGAGGGAAAGAGAGGACTGGGTCAGTGGAGGAGGCCAGGCGGAGAGACTGGAGTGACTGTGAGAAAGAGAGACGGAGCGATAGAGAGATGCAGAGGACAAAGGAGGTGAATGAAAGGGGAGAAAGGCTAAGGGAATAGATGGAGGAAGAGCTCAGTGGGTGACAGGACTCCTGCTCTACTGTCAGACTCAATCCCTGGTTCATTTGTAGCAAAGGGTGTGCAAAGACATCGTTTGTGTCCTATTAATTATAGATACAAAAACATTGAAAAAGAGCTCATTAATATAGAGAACTATCTGTGAACCTAGATTTTAGAGCGGTGACTCCTTTCTGTGTGTGTGTGTGTGTGCGTCCGCACTGTGTTCTGGATGAGAAAGAGAAAACAAAGGTAATGAGGTTTGTTTCCATGTAGGGATCATTTACATCAACTACTGTGGAGTGAAAAGAAAGGACACAGTGATTTGCTTAAACCACTCCGACACACACATACACGCGCACACACAAGTTGGATGGGTTTTCTGTCATTTGACTTGTAAAATGCACCATATTTGTCTCTTTCTGTTCGGACCACCTCGAACAGGTTCCTCTCACGTCTCCTCGAATCAGTCAGACACACTGAGTCAGTCTCCCCGTTTGTGCTGTGAGCATTTTATGCAAGCTTGTGCAGAGCTGTGGGCGGATATATCAGTGTAATATCAATATCATGATACGAGAACAGACATCTGCTTGGATTTTTCTATGACAAAGATAAGGGGCAGACACTTTGGCGTGTAAAAATCATTTAAATTTACCAATGTCAAAAGAGCAGCTAATTAATATTCTGTTACAGTTCCAAGTCAGACTGTGGAACAAATAATGAGACATTTAACTATGCTAATTTTTTCCAGGGGTTATGGGTGGTATAAAGAATTTTTTTTAAAGAAATGTTTAAACAGGAAAAAAAAATCGTACGTAATCTGTAAAGCTGACATGCAGATATGTGCGTATGCTTTTGCTTAGTCAAGTGATTTTAATGTACACGGTCTGACATAATCTCTGCGAGGAGACACATTTTTGCCATATCACTGTACCTAATATTGCTATTTTGCTAAAATATTTTATTAATAAACCTTTTTTTCCTCCCTCCTGTCCAGACTTCTCTGTTCTCTCGTACTTCAGTTGATGATCGTAAACGCCTAGTGGCGTAAAGGCCTTTTTTAAGCCATGTGACATTTTAAAATCCAAACCGCAATCCTGTATTTTACTCTGCGAGTTTGTTCTGATGACATTTTCCAGCAGCTCACATTATCGTAGCATGTTATGCTGACATACAACTGGGAGCAATGCCACATTTTCTTAAGTTTAAAGGATCACTTGCATACTTAAATACACTTTAAATTATGAACACGTATGTTACTCACATATGTGAGTGTGTGTGTGTTTATGTGGCAGTTGTACAGCTGTATCGATATATAATGCAATATAATTTCAGATAGATTTGGCAAGCTGTTTATAGATCAAATATGACAGACGGGAATATTTTTTTTTTATTTTCAGTTAATGCAGCAAGTTAAAACCCCTAAAATAAGAAACTTAAAGATATAAAACGTGATGCAAAAATCCAAATCTGTGCTAAAAAGTCACGACACATTTTCTTGTTATGTGTCAGGGAAATCCCTCCTAAATTGAGAAAGAAGACTTTGAAGAAAGTATAAAATGTTCATTAGATGTTGAGAAGATCTAAATGAACACAGATGTAATTTTTAATTCTTTCGAGCAGGCAAACATTATTCTGAGCCAGTTGTGTCTGGCTGGAACTCCCTGCTTTCCTAGAAACTATTGGCCATGAAACATTAACAGATCATCTAATATCAGGCCTCTGCAAACTGCCAAGAGATCTGATGTGCCAAGACTTTGCAACATCAGCACAACTGTTTTCCAAACAAATATTAACATGTGCTGAACATGAGCCTGTAGGTCTTCTGAAAACACAACATTTTCACAGGGTTAAAACAAAGGAAAGCATCAGAAAGATAAAACCTGAAATAATTATTTAGATTTTTTTTTTTTTAAATGTTATTTTTCTGATGATTGACCTATCATTGCGGTTCAAGTCCATATCTAAATTGTTATTACATGTTCGCCGGTACTTTAAGTTGTCAGGGTTGACGGAACCCTGACTGAAGCTGAAGCAAACAACAGCCGGTGAACTATACACAAAATATGAGGGGAATGAACGTGGCTCCAGGGGTTCACGGGGCAGGACGGGAAAACACTCCACACGCGCTCGTAGGTCCACACTCCGTTCGCTCGTGCGCCCACTCGCTCCAATCTTCAACACGCGCCACTCCGCTCATCCAAACACTCGCGCTCTGAAATCCAAAGAGGTTCAAGGGACGGGTCCAGGAATCTACATACACAAGACGAGAGATAACCATCGCAAGGGAGTCACTATGAAGACACGAGATATTAGTCAGCTACGCCAACATGTGTCGCAAAACGGTCCAGCGACGAGAAACACTGAGCCGCCATCTTAACTAGCAGCCAGGAAAGCAGGATGATGGGCCGCAGGTGTGTGATTGCTCCCAGGTGCGTGGGCCAAAGGCGGGAGCCCGCAATGAGCTCCGCCCAGGCAGAGCGAACACAGGAGAGAGAGCAAAAACAAAAACAAAAAACACATGTGGCCTTACTGGGTTGACTGGGCAGACACACGGACCGTGACAAAAGTAAAAGTGCCTGTAAAAGCGAACACGGACTCCTCAAAACAGCCAAAATCTGCCATCCACTCATATTTAATGCACATAATTGTACACTGTCAATGCAATTTTATACATAGTTTAAAAAAAAACATGATCCACTCATACAGCTGCCATGAAAGCTTGCAACTCATTGGCATAAGAATCTTTCCACCTCCACCGTGCAACCCACTTGACATGAATCCTGCACAGGCCTCCTATTGTGCTCCTTGTTGGTCTGAGATTGGTTTCCGCCCACCTCTGACTGGGTGAGCAATGGATTTGGTGTTTTTTTTTTTTTACAGGGAGGCTATATATAAACTTGGACTAATTTTAAAATCAATCAATCAATCAGGCAATTCCTGTGGATTTTGTCATTGAGGTATATTAAGAAGGTTTTTTTATGTCCACTTATGGAGAGCAGATACAGTTGTAATGCCTTTTTTTTTTTTTTTTAAATAAAAGTATTATTTGAAGACAGACTTAATCAAATTGTGTGCTTTAAGATAGATTCAGATTGGGCAATAATCTTAAATGTGACAGTAACAGATTTCAGCTATTATGCTTCGCACTGATCAGGTAAAAACAAAAGAATGATTAATGAGCAAACCCGTACAATTCTGGAGAGTTTCTGATATGGAGAAAATGCTTAAAGAGCACAAATGCACGCTGTGCTTTTAGCTCAGGGAGCGTGTGCTGAAGGCAGGATTACAGTCGTGATAAATACGTGAGGAAACCTATCAATGTTTAATCAGTCTTCCTGCAGTCTTTAGCAAAGACTCAATTCTTTAAGTGAGAGAAAACAGAATTACTTTTTGTGCAAAAACTTTCTTTTGTAAGAGATCCCGGCCTGCACTACAAAATGTGGCACAGAACGAGACACCAGGGAGTCTTTTTGGCCTTCTGTGGGATTAATTACTACCTGCTAGTATTCCAGATATATATAAAGTAGGGGTTAAAATCATAAAAACAACAAATACGACAGAAAATAAAAGAAAAATTTAGCGTGATATGCTAGTTACTACCGTATTTTCTGTGTACCTTCATACATGTAGGGGAATGCGACACCTCTATTCCCACGAGTCAGACATCGACCAGACAAACATACAGGCTCTAAAACCCCATAAGTGGCTTTGACTGCAGCATGTAGGCCTCAGCCCTCTGGGAAATGTAGAGGTCAATGGTCCGAAACTGGCAGTTGCACAAGGCGCTGTAGTGTGTTTTGATTCTTAAATATTAGCCATAGCGACAAGAAAATTCTCCCACTCTTGTTATTAAAAAGTCTTTCAGCCAATAAACCTTTCAGGGTTTCTGTTGGAAGACTAATCTATGTCTCTCCCCCACACCTCTTAATTAGTCTCTCCTCTCCATCACACACATACAAACACACATTCATTCATCCATTAAGAGCATAGTGCTACAAGGCTGCTTTGTCACTTTGCGCTTCATAGTGATCTACCCTCAGTCACTGATTGCTCTGTGACCAAAGAGAGGGAGGTTAGTCTCTCTTTCTATCTCGCCCTCTGTTGATTGTACGGCCTCGAACGCACGTGAGTGTACGCAACTTGATTTTTACATTATTTCTACAACAGGCTACTCACATTCGTAAGGATCTGTGTGATGCACAATTGTGTGATTAACGTCTAAACTACAAGAATTTAGATGTCAAATGATGCACTGAGAATATTTTTATTTCATGAAATCGTCCAGCAAAACATGCAGATGAATTTTCTCTGTGCATATTCTTTGTAAATGGTTGGGTGTATTCGCAGCATGCACGTTAATGTGTGCGCCTGTGTAATTTTTTTTCACTCTAAGCATTATGTTCATACACTCACTTAGAGATAGCTGCCACTTCAAGTAGGCCGGCCGCTTCCCCGGGGCAGGATTTTGGTTGTAGGCAGTAAGCATGGTGGTGCAAACAGGGGGAACCGGGTGTGTGGCTTTGTCAAGGGCCATCAGTGTCCTTGCTCTACTTACTCTGCATCTATCTGTGTGTGTGTGTGTGTGTGTGTGTGGAGTGGGGGTGGGTGGGGGGTGAGAGAGCAAGAGAGAAAGAGAGAGATTTGGGGTAGCAAGCATAAGAAAATGCTGCCATAAGGGGTTTGCAGGAGACTAGACATATTGTGTGTATGTTTTTGCGTGGTTGTGCGTGCATCTGATAAAAAATGGAAATGTTCTCATTCTGTTCAGTCTTTTATATTTACTGTGTGTGCGTGTGCATAGCTCACTGGTCCTGGGGCCTTTATTACAGCCTTGTTGGTTGAGTGGATTTAAAGAAGGCAGAGGTTTCTCTTCTCTTTCTTAGTTTATGCGCATGTGCCCGAATGCGTGCGAGGTTTCCTGTGTGTGCGTGCGTGCGAGCGCAAGTCTTTGAATGCGCGTTGGACATTTGTTGAGGAGTGACCTAAATCTGTCGGCCATCATTACCTAACAAGAAGATGGAGTCACAAATAAACACACATGCACACATATGTTTATGTACACACGCACACAACCTCCCAAGACCGTAACTCTGGTTACGCAGTCCACACTACAGCTGTAGCTGAAATCCTAAAAGGAAAAAAGAAATGTTATGGCGTACATGATGCCCCTCCTCTCTCCCTTCTGTCCAGGGCCAAGAGTTCAGTTTATATTAAGGAGTCATATTACTGTTGTTCTCTCGTAGCTCATCTTCCTGCGTCCCGTATGTTCCCTCATAAAAATCCACAGTGCACCATTGCCCTCTGATCACCTGTGTCTTCAGTCAGCTGCTTTACCTAGTTACGCCTGCGGGGGAAGAGATCGTCTCTACAACATGATTTATTTAGGATTACTGAAAAGTGGCCTAAGCTGAGCCCAGCCCTCTGCCTCTGTAAGTGTGTGTGTGTGTGTGTGTGTGTCTAAGGATAGAAAGATTAAGACTCTTTTATGGGTCAGTTGCCAGTATTGCTTCTGGCTAATTACAGACTTAAAACACAAATTCTCACGTGTGCGCTTTCAGTAACAGATACGCACATCCACTGTATACCTCCTCGCGCTCCATCCCTCTCTCTCTCTCACTTCCTGAGACTGCACTGTGCTATCACCATGGTAACAGCAGATTGAGGGGCTTTTCGCTGCACCGATTGTTCAATTGTTATCTTTATTTTGCTCCCACTCTGTGTCCGTCCGTCTGTCTGTCTGTCTCTATTATTCTGTCCTCTTTCCACCCTGCTGTGGTGTCTCATGTGCACTCTTTCATAGTCAGTGTGGGTTTCTGACCATCCAACACACACACGCGCGCACGCACACACATCTCCACTAAGATGAGAGGGTGCAGTTTTTCACTCACAGTCTCACACTTCCACTGCTTCCTCCCCAGGCTCTCCTAGCACTGTGGTGGTGTGACGTCCTAACTCTTCCTGCCCAGCATGGCTGTGTCACTGTGGTTCGTGGGCGTGCTCACTCTGGCTCAAGTTGCGCCCTCTGGCCAAGGTAAGCGTCACGTCGAGGTGTTGATTCTGACAGCATTGAGCAGGAGGAATCCTATAGACTGAAACGCCATAGATAATGTCAGTGCAACACAAATTTAAGTGACTCACATCTAATCGAGTGAAGCCCAGTGCCACTAAAAAAAAGGCATCTAGACAAGCTGTATGACATGCTTTGACCTACGCAAACACAAGATGTGAATACAAGTGTATGAGTGGAGTGTATGAGGAGCTGCCTGTAGCTCAAAGTCGATTAACAATCAGCTATTCAGCACGGCAGACAGTTACAGTACATCAGCAGCATACTAGTCACACCAAAGTGTTGCTTTAATGTTTTAATCCTGATGCTGCAAACACCTTGTCATGCGTACACGATACTCAAACTCGTGTGAGAAAGCGGATTTAGGTAATGGTAATGGGATTTTCTCCAATAACCGTGGTTTACACAGCTTTAAAAGGTTGTCAGGTGAGTGTTTTCGCTGAGCCTGTATTTAACATATTCACACGTAGTGCTCAAAGAAAATGAAATCCTATACTTGTCTGATTGTGTTTACCGAGCACCTGAGTGTCAATAGTGGTTTCAAAGCTGCGCGTCACATGTAGCTGTTACAAAGGAGGTGTGACGAGATTATGGCAACTGTCACGTCTGGGAATCCTTCCAGTGTTAGCTTTCACACTTGCGTATTTTAAAGATTAAATTAGCGGTTTTCATCGTTTTCACAATTTCAAAGCATGTGTAATGTGTGTTAAATGTGCTAACAAATACAGGTATGGGAATGATTTGAATGAGGCAGTCAAAGTAAGGTCTCTATCCTAGGGAATCGTTAATGGGATCAATGTCCTATAGTTCGTGGTATTGGATAGCTGATCCCATCTGTAGACCAGGAGTATTTATCTTCCCAAAGCCTGACAATGTAGCCCAGATGATGTAATCAGCATGGCCATGTTAATATTGCTAGTATCACATTCTGTACAGTCTCCAGTCCTACAGAAATTGCTCATTCCCTGCCTTTTCTCCGTGCTCACCATTAGGCAGATGATTAATTCGATATGGAATTTCTCTGAAATCCAGTGCATCCATAGCGTACAAAGGATACCATAGATACGGTATCCATGGTATCAGATGTTAACATCTCATAACTTTGGGATTCGATTTTGCATGTTAGCATCCATCACAGAGCACCACTCATAACTAAGTGCAAAAAAAGGCTTAAAACAAATGTGAGACTGTGCCAGCATCCATGATTATGAATCACTGCTTCAAACCATAATACTAATAGGTGGTTTATGCAGTACTGAGCAAACGTTTTGAGCCACCACCATTTTTTATATTTTGCAAGGAGCCAGCAATAGTACTATTACAGATATAGAAATCAAAAAGCTTTTTGTGTGGAAAGAAACGTTTTCTGAATGTATTTTAAACGTTTTCTTTGCTTTTCACGCATTTTCAGTTCATTCCTTGTACTTTTCACAAAAACAGATAATTTGTTTCAATTTCTTAAGACGAATCTCTGAAAAACGCCAGCTTGACGGGATAAAATCGTATTTCTGCACGAGATGAGATGTTAGCCTAAAACTTGATGGCATGATATGCGGTATGCTTTTAAAAAAATTGAGAGAGCTGGACAAGTGGTGTACAAAAGAAGAAGTGGCAGGTCTAAAAAACTACTTATACAGCAGATGAACAGTGTTTGAAAGTCATGTCCTTAAGAAATAGGAAAAAAATCCACAAAATAGCTGACACAGGACCTGAGAGATGCAGCATTTTCAGCTTTTCATTTTCAGTGATCCCAAACACACTGGCAGTGCAGTAAAATCATGCCTGGATAGAAAAGCAATATGCTCTGTCAGTTATGACTGGCCAGTCCAGAACCCGGACCTCAATATTATTGAAGCGTTTTGGAATCATCTTGACAAAGAACAGAGCAAAAGGTAGCCAACATTCACAGAAGAACTTTGAATGTTCTTCAAGAAGCCTGAAGACAAGAAAATTGTTAGGAAGGGGTTAAATTAGCTTTAGAAGGTAAAACTATTTTCATTTCAGCTGTAAAGTTGGACATTAAAACATGGGCGTCAGTAATTGGTTTGTAGCTCTAAGAAGCCATTTGACTCTCTTCTGAGGTTTAAAATTGCTGCCATCGAGGACACTACAAAATCAGACACTACAGAAATAAATCAAATGCCAATTTTTAGAAATGTATTAACTTAACTATGAAGCTCCTTTTGCCTGTAGTAAATTTTGAAAACTTGGCTTTTCTTTCTTCTTGTGTTTCCGCCTTTCCCTTTCATCCTCTGCTGCCTCACCCCACTTCTCCCCCGCCTACTGTGCAGCCATGTCCCGGGCCGCTATGCCATTTGGCCTGCTACGCAGGGAGCTGGCATGTGAGGGTTACCCCATAGAGCTGCGCTGCCCAGGGAGTGATGTGGTCATGGTGGAGACTGCCAATTACGGACGCACCGATGACAAGATCTGTGATGCGGACCCCTTCCAGATGGAGAACACACAGTGTTACCTCCCCGACGCACTAAAGATCATGTCGCAGAGGTGAGTATGTGTTGGGCTGCACATCCTGCTGTGTGTACACTATGTTTGCATAAGCAGTTAAAAATTGCGCAGTAAAGATGCAAACTGTGATATCGTACTCGAGTTATTTGAATACGTCTTTTAGAAGTGGCTACGGCAATCAATGAGCGCGTGAACTGTTTGTACGTGTGCACTGCTGCACAACATACGCGCTGATTAGTAGGTTGTCTTGTGTGTCATGTATACATGCAGGTGAAGCAACCTCTCCAGCTCAGTATGAGTGCCTGGCTGCACCATTAGCTGTGTACTCAGCAGTGTTTTCCTCGAAGAACTGATCAATATTCAGTGAGAGGGAGAGTAGACAAATGGAGTGTCCTTTGCTTCCCCTTTCCTGTCTGGTAATCACTCCCCTTCCTTCCTTTGTTTTTTCTCTCCATCATCCATATGACTCACCCATCCATCCATCCATCCATCCATCCATCCATCCATCCATCCATCCATCCATCCATCCATCCTCCAGGTGTAACAACAGGACTCAGTGTGTGGTGGTTGCAGGGGTTGACGTCTTCCCAGACCCCTGTCCTGGAACATACAAGTACTTGGAGATCCAGTATGAGTGTGTCCCTTACAGTGAGTATGCATATATATTTATTTCAACAGACATAAACACACATATACTGTATGTACACGCACGCACACACAAACACACTCACACACATACATAAAAACAAACACAAGTGCACACAGATTTAACCTATGTTTTTGGTTTTTTTTCGCCAAGATGCATTTTTAGGTTTTTGGTGTTTATTATTATTTGTACGTATGATCTCTGATGTTTACTAGTTCCCTGAGAAACTGATGGATAGAAAGAGACTGGGAGTTTTTTGTTTTTGTTTTGTTTCTCAGGGAATGTGTGTGCATGCTTGTGTTTCTGAAATGTAAAAAGAAAGTTGTACGGAGAAAGTACAGAGAGAAAAACTGTTTGCCAAAATGTCTTCTGCGTGTATGTGTGTTTGGGAGTGTGCACTTGCGCGTGCATGCGTGTGTGTTTTCTTTTCCAGATTCACGCCACGGGAGTTGCTCTCTTTTCTCCACAGGAGCCTGATTGAGGGAAGGAGAGATCGGGGGAGGTGGGGGAGGGAAGGGGGGAGAGGATAGGGTGGGAGGGGAGGAGAAGAGGGAAGAAGAATATGTTGGGTCTCTTTCGTGCTCCTTCCTTTTTACGTGAACAATAATGTATGTGGTGAGAATGAGTTCCAAAGTCTTTATCTGTGCAAATCTTTCTTTCTCTCTTTCTTTCTTTCTTTTTCCCTTTCTTTCTTTCTTCCTTCCTTCCTTCCTTCCTTCCTTCCTTTCTCTCCTGCTTTTCTTGCTTGCTTTCTTGCTTCTCTTTACTTCCCTTCTTTCACCCTCTGACTTTTCTTTCTTTCTCTCCCTCTTTTTTTTCCTATGCTTGAGTAGAAGTGGACCAAAAAGGTAAAGACAATACATTGTAGCATCTTGATCTCTCCTTACCCCCCGAACCCCCTCTTTTCTCTCCTTCTCTTCCTCTCTCCTACCATTTCTCTCTTCCTCCTACCCTAGGACGTTGTTTCGTAATCATGCTGGATGTTGCCCCCTCCCTTTTTTCATTTCCTACTCAGTTCTTTTTTCCCCATTTTATCCATCTCTCGTTGTATAGAAAGCCGTCCTTTTATCCAATTTTATCCAGGTTCTGCACCTAGTCTCTCTTCATCTTTTCTCTCTTGCTTTCTTGCTTTAGTTTCTTCACCTCTTCTTTCCCTCTTGCTCCTGGTTGATCTCTCTGTTCTCTGTCTCTCCTTCAGTCTCTGTGCACACCAACACAAACACAGCTACTCACACGTACATAAACACAATCTTCCTTTGAAGCTTTCCCTCCTCTATGTTCTTTCTTTCTTTTCGTTCGATCTTTCTTTTGTTCTTTCTTTCACTTTTTACTCTCCCTTCCTTCCTTCCTTTCTTTCTTCCTTCCTTCCTTCCTTCCTTCTTGTCTAGTCATCCTCTTCATGCTTATTTTCCCTTTTCTTCCCTTATAGGAAGAGCCCCTTATTTATCTTCATAGGAAAAATAAGACGAAATCTGTGTGATTGTATATCCGTCTGGATGTGTGCTTACCAAGCACTGCTTATGTGTGGGTGTGTGTGCATGCCTATTTGCATGCCAGTGTGAGACTGTACAGTATACATATGTGTCCATACAGTTATTGACATGTGGGTGGACCAATCGTTGTGCTCGGCGTAAACTAACCTGCCCTCTCATTCACTTCAAGGCAAAATTTAGCCCCGCCTTCTGCGTCCCTGACTCTACCTCACACTCTTTTTCACTCTTTTTGCACTAACCCACACACACACAGACACACACACACACACATACACACAAAAAAGCACATAAATACACTCACACCTTTCATTGCAGTGTCCCTGTTGTATTACTCACCACACACACACTAACAGTGTGTGATTTCTCAACACTTATACGTCTCTTCTGTTGCTTGCCTCTCAAGATCAGCACAGGTGTTTTAAATCCCTTTCTCTTTTTCTCTTCATTCTTTTTCCTTAATCTCGCTGCATTGACTGCATTTAATTCAATCCATTTTTCATGCATTGATCCATTTTCTCCCCACACCTGCCTCCACTTTCTTTCTCTTCACTCTTTTTCGCACTTCCCTTCCTGCGCTTTTGCTCCCCTCTCTCTTTCTCTTCTCTCTCACATCCTGCCTCTACCCCGCCTAATTCCCATCTTCCAGTTTTCGTGTGTCCTGGCTCACTGCTCAGCATCCAGCCAGCCTCCTCGCTCCTGGAGGTGGAGCATCAATCAGGGGCCTGGTGTAAAGACCCCCTGCAAGCTGGTGACAGGCTGTATGTCATGCCGTGGACACCCTATAGAACAGAGGTGCTGTATGAGTACGCCTCTTGGGATGACTATCGGCAAAACAGAGTCACCACAACCTATAAGTGAGTGCTTTGTGTACTGCGTATATTGTTGAGATAGTTGATGAATATTCAGTTACTCTAGGGTCTGCTTTGTTTATTGTTTTTTAAGAAACTGTAAAGTAACAGATTAATCAAAGCTGGAAAAAAAATCAATGAAGTAGTCTGTAATAAAAATAATGGCAGTTTGCAGGTCTTGGGGGCTTATTTCACATTTAGCCAAATCAATTTATTATGGAAAAAGAGCAACATTTATTTTGTCCGTATAAAAAGTTGGTTTCATATATTCTATATCTATAACGTATGGTTATATAAGAAGAGTTATAGTTAAAAGCATCATTGCCATTTATAGATTTCTGCTACACTCATTAAATGTGTTACCACTCATTTGTTAGCTCTTTGTGTAGTAGTTTGCATAGTTAGTGGTAGAGTTTACCACCACTGTGCCTTCAAATGAAGGTAAAATCTATGCATGCAGCTTCTGAGAGGCTTGCTCTCAGTGATGAATAAAAAGGTCTGGGATTATTAAAAGGTATTATATAAATGCTCTTAAGGCTACCACAATATCTGCAAGTGTCAATAATATCCTAATTAAAGCACTAAAGAAACAAAATTCAAGATAATTTAATTTTCCTTATGCAACACAAGATTGTATAACAAAATGTATTTATGCTGCTTACAAAATACAAATGAATGAAGCAAGCCTAATTAAGTACGCAGACTGAGTGTAGTTGGGGTTGATGTTTACTTTTAGAATCTTTTGGACTCTGGGGAGATATCTTGCTAATATCACTGATGTTTAGTTGGTGCTGGTGATGTTCTGGGTGGTTTTAATCTGAGCTGAGCTTTCCGGTCAACACACAACACGTCAATTTTTGATGTTTTGACTCAAAAATATTGTTTCTATTGTTCTTCTGTAAAAGTAAAAAGTCACAAACTATAGATTTTCACACATTTCATGATGTATTTCATAATAATCTCCCAGGTTGCCCAGCCGTGTGGATGGTACAGGCTTTGTGGTGTATGACGGTGCCGTATTTTACAACAAGGAGCGAACGCGCAACCTTGTGAAATATGACCTACGCACCCGCATCAAGAGCGGGGAGGCAGTGGTGGTCAATGCTAACTACCACGATACCTCGCCTTACCGCTGGGGAGGGAAGTCGGACATCGATCTGGCAGTGGATGAGAACGGCCTTTGGGTTATTTACTCTACTGAAGCCAATAATGGACGCATCGTGGTCAGCCAGGTAGGAGGAAGGAAAAACAGATCGATGATTGTATTTCTAAGAAAGAAAAGAGGAGGTTTTGATTTTTTCATCATTTCATGTCTTTCCTGTTTGCAGGTGAACCCCTACACTCTCCGCTTTGAGGGTACCTGGGCAACTGGCTTTGACAAACGTGGAGCTAGCAACGCCTTCATGGCCTGCGGTGTGCTCTACGCCGTGCGCTCTGTTTTCCAGGATGATGAGGGGCAGGCAGATGGCCGAGCCAGCAGCAACATGGTGGTTTATGCCTACGATACCAGTCGTGGGCAGGAGCTTCCTGTTCAGATACCATTCCCAAACCCCTACCAGTACATCTCCTCCATAGATTACAACCCCAGAGACAACCAGCTGTATGTGTGGAATAACTACTATGTACTGAGATACCCTCTACAGTTCACACCACCACCACCTACTAAAGGTCAGTTGAATGATAGTAGTTGTGTAACTGGACATAGGTGACTAATGTAATAAATGTGGAGAATTTTTGACCCTGCTTTTTGACCCTCCAGGGCCCTTGTCCTCTCTGATGACCACTGTCCGGTCATACACAGCCACAGTGGCTCTGACTCCAGTGCGGCCGTCAGCCTCCCATCCAATTGGTGTCATCAACAGAGGGCCTTTTGACCAGCGGCCGATCACAGCCATGGTCCCTCTGACCCCACGCCCTCCTCTGCGTGTCCCCTTGGCCCCTGGGGGACTGGGTCAGGTGGGAGGATGTGAGAGTCGGGTGGCACGAGGGGTGCAGTGGCCCCCTACCCTAAAGGGGGAGACCGTGGAAAGGCCCTGCCCTAAGGGGTCTTTGGGTAGGTGTGGGAGATGTGGGCATGCCAGTGTGTGTGTTTCATATGCATGTTTGTGTGTGTGTGTGTGCAGATGTGAGCATGCCAACATGTTTGTTTCATGTGTGTGTAGTATCATTTGTGTGCGTGTGTGTGTGTGTATCCTGTTTCCCTTTGAAATGTAGTCGGATGTCCTCTCTTTGAACTTGCCTCAGATGAGTCTGAGAGGTTACAGTGTGTAGAGAAGCTGGGTTCAGCGACTCTTCCTCTCGCTGTGCAGCTGTCTTCCTCAGCCCTGCCTCCCTCTGAGGAGCAACTCTTATGGAGATTATGTAGAGATGCCTGGGCTGCGTTTTGCCTCTTCATGGATGTTGAATGGCTTGGACATGGGTTTGGCACGGCAGTGATGATTGAGTCTTATCTTAAACGATGGTTGTAACTGGAAACAGGCGTGGCTGTTGTTTCATACTTAAACCTAATTTGCAGAACATGTGTCCAGTCTTGGTTTTCATTAAATGTCTTGTAAACAAAATGTGTGCAGCAATTAAGCAGATCAGTTAAAGGCTTCAGACTCAATTCATGGTAAATAATCAGCTGACTTCTGCTGTGGAGAGCTTTGCAACTTCTTTTAGCTCATACAGCAGTTCTGTTATTCTGTTATTAACTGCAGGGTTCATTCTCATTGGCCTCGTTTCCAGCAGTAGCTGTTTTCAGCAAAAATGAACCCTATTGTGCAATACTTGCCCGGAACCAAAAGCACAAGCAAAGTTAGTGATGAGCTGAGAAGGAAAAGCTAAATGCGTACGGTGTAACAAGAAGGCAGTGATTTCCAAAAGTTTTAAACATACCTTTATAAATTATGCTTTTATCAAAATAAACCATAAAATTGGAATTATCTGCATAGAAAAGTAAGAAATACACACATAGTCAAGTAAAAGATGATGTGTGAGACATTTTGGCCACTGGTTCACTGACTCTTGTTTGAAGACTCGAGTCAAGCATTTTTGGCTGTCCCGATCTAGGTATTTTGAAAGGGACAAGGGAGGGGTGACTCTTACTGAGAAACTGAGGATGCTGGATGCTTCTCCTGGCATTTTCCATCACATTGGCATTCAGTAAAGAAATGTTGGACTTCCTATAAAGAAACATCACCAGAGCTGTGATAAAATGTTTTTAATTAGCTCATTTAAAGGGAAATTTGATCATTCATAAATTATAATTTTGCTTATCAACTGACCTGAAATAACAGGAAAATGCACAGACTTACAAGCAAACATGTCCGTGTGGAGCCACAGTGGGGCCCAGTACCAGCATGACGTGTGGGGTACAGATGACCACTGACTGTGACCTGCTGACACTAAGCAGAGAGGGTGTCCAAGTGGGGTTCACTGTAGGCTTGCAGCATGCCCTTTGAAGCCCGCATGTGCCTTATGGCACATTACCACCACCAGAAGAAGTTTTGAGCAAAATGCCTCTAAAAATAAAAGACATTCAATAGGGGCTGCCACAGCAGGTAGTGCCACTTATTTGATTCGGCCATTTTTCCAGCTTATATTATACCTAACAAAACACCCCTTGTTTTTTCAAGGGGAACTGGGGATCTTCTACTTGTTAGGCAAATGTGTAAACCACTTCACTATGGAGCCACTCGCTTAAACAAGCCTGCAAACAAGCAAACAAACATAAAGAAAAACCTAAACCCTATCAAAACAAGTTAGCCTGTTTTAGGAAATTAAATATGGCTTTCTAACGTTAACTTCTAGAGTTCTATATATCACTATATACATATTACTGAGGTTTTACATCAGTCACCTTTACTAAGCCTCATATTTCTATTTCTATGGTTTAATCTTTCAAAGTTACACATCCCTGCAGTGCTTCTTTATTATAAATAATATCCAAGCTCACAGTTAGCAGGTGTGGGTGAACTGTGGAAATGTATGGGTAAGAAAAACCAATATTTCTCCCATACGGGCTCCAAGTGGGTGTCCCACAGCTGCCCTAAAAACCCTACATGGGAGGCCAAAGAGGATTTTCTGTGGGCATGCCCACTTTTGTTTGCTCACAGCAAACCCTCATGGGTACCCACAAAAAAAGCAAAACTACCATGGGATATTATGGGGCCATATAGGGGATCTCAAAAGACAAAACTGTGTAAGTGCTCCCACTTGGGGCATGCATGGGACAGGCTATTCTCACATAGCCGCATGTTGTCCCACAGCTACCCCAGTGTAGACATATTTGCTGGATTATTGCCTTAGCGCTATGTGGACCAACTGTACTTACTTGCATAATCACTCTTTAATGGCCTATTTTGAAGCGGGAAAAAACTTGTTGTAGCAATCTTAAAGCATATCCTTGACAAATATTTTACTCTAAATTGGATGACCGTTTGTAAAATGAGTACTGTGTGGTCTAAAATAACATATGAAATTAGACACTAAAACCATAAACTCATCCAGAATGTCTTTTCTCAGACGATAAATCAAGTGAGAAGTAGATTTTTCTCTTAGACCCTTATAGAATCAACTAAAGGCCCCCTTCTGTCAATATGAAAGAATGCCAAGTTTAACGGACTTCCCCAATGGCTTTACTTCAGACACAGAGGCTACATCTGTCTCATATCTGGTCTATGCTCTGGTGTTATAAAATACAAACTGTCGGTTTCCTTTCTGACTTTCTGCGTCACCTTTTCCGTCTCTGCAGGTATAGCCTCCTATCAATGCATGTCGTCTCCAGTGAGCTGGAACTCCAGAGGCCCTGACCTTTCCAACTGCACCTCTCCCTGGGTCAGCCAAATTGCACAGAAGGTTAGTCACACACGCACACACACAACCACAAATGCACACGCATGCTGTGCAAATGCCCTAAAGCTAGTCAGCAAGCAGCTCTCTCTTAAATGTCAAAATATTTGACATTCTAAACACCCCCGCCTCACTCCAGATTAAGAGTGGAGAGAATGCAGCCAACATCGCCGGGGAGTTGGTCAACCTGACCCGGGGGCGGATCTATGCCGGTGATGTCAGCATGTCCGTCAAGCTGATTGAACAGCTGCTCGAGATACTGGATGCTCAGCTCCAGGCCTTGAGACCAGCCAATAAAGAGTCAGCAGCACGCAATTACAACAAGGTAAATTGTTGCTGTTGTCAGTGTGGATGTGTGCTTGACCTTTCCTGGAAATGAACAGAAATGTCAACAATGACGATTCTAAAAGATATCTAACAGATGTTTTTCTGCTTTTTTTTTTAGCTGCAGAAGAGAGAACGCACATGCAAAGCTTATGTTCAGGTAACATAGATAGATAGACAGCTAGCTAGCTAGCTAGCTAGACTGATAGATGTAACTGTCTCTCCCCTCTTGTTTTTCAGGCCGTTGTTCAGACAGTTGACAACTTGCTCGGTCCTGAAGCTCTTGTGTCGTGGGCTGATATGAGCAATGCTGACCAGTCACGCTCTGCGTCACTGCTATTGGACGCAGTAGAAAAAGGAGCGTTTCTCTTGGCTAATAACCTTTATGAAGCACGTTTCAGTGACAGGGCACCAAATGTTGGTACGCTGACTTTTTCGTCCGTTTTCTTGTCATTTTCTCCTCAAACTAGCAGCTCATCCAGACTTGTGTGTACCTCTGGTCCTCTTATGCGCAGATCTGGAGGTGTACGTGTTAAATACAGAGGCGGACATACAGGACCTGAAGTTCCCTAACACCTACGACAGCGACAGCATCCTACAGATATCAGCACTGGCCCTGCAACAGTACAGCAACAACGGTATGTGGCACATAGGAGAAACTGATCAGTGTTAGTTCAGGCAGGGCACATCCTCGAGCTCTGTTGCAATCAGGCAGATCAGCTGATCTCAGTGCCAAGCCACATGAGCTAATGGCTAAGCTGATACTTGTTTACTGAATCTTTAGGCTGCCTATAGCTTCTGCACACATATAAACCTCTTTGCTGTGTTAGCAGTGCCTGCCCTGTTCTATACACGGGGACCTGGTGCTGCACTTCCATAACAGAGCCATAGCACCAAATATAAGAGTACTGCAGAAGGAAATATTAATCCTATTTTCACAGCAGTAGTTGTGACGAAGATATTTATTACAAACAAATTTCTTCTTAAATTATAGTTATTAAACCATGGCTAAGACGGATTGTTTGGAGAAGTAATACTAGCTTTTCTCAGATAGTAAGATTTCAGACATATCATTATTCCAGATCAATTATTTCATGCTATTTTCTATTGTTTTCTCTCCAGGCCAGGTGAAATTAGTCCTTTCCCTCTACAAGAACCTGGGCTCCTTCCTGACAACTCAGAACTCGACGCTGCGGCTTGGACTGGGGCTGGGCCAGAGCTCAGAGGTCAGGCATAAGAGCCTGGTGGTGAACTCTCATGTCATCTCTGCATCTGTGCACAGAGGATCCAGCAGAGTGTATCTCACCGAGCCAGTGATCTTCACTCTTAGGCACCTGCAGGTCTCTTAACTCTATTCAGCGTAAAAGTCACATTGAAATGAACAAATTTGTAACACTTTGCATAATCGCTGTGTCGAGCATACTGTTTATCGATGCCTTTGTTTCCTCAGCTGGAGAACCACTTTGGTCCCAATTGCTCTTTTTGGAACGCATCAGGGGTTTCTGGGAATGGCAGGTGGTCTACACAGGGCTGCCGCCTGTTACACACAAACAACACACACACTACTTGCGCCTGCAACCATCTGTCCAGCTATGCTGTCCTCATGACATACCAGCAACCTGCTGTAAGTAACACACGCTGACACATAGCAGCATTTAATTCGTGCAAGCTACTGTTCGCCATATTGCCATTGTG